GTCCATCGCCTGTTCTCTGGTATTTCGGAAGAAACAGTACACCAGCATTGTTGATGAGGATATCAATTTTATCTTCCACTGAAACATTGATTTACTAACTTATCCTCATTGATTTTGTCACTATTTTGTGGAAAATTAAGTTTTACTCACTTGACAGGAGCTCTTTCGCGCAAGCTCTAACACTGCTAAAGTCTGATAAATCACATTTCACGATTATGAGCCGTTCCGCATCGCATCCCATCTGCAAAAATCAGTATATTCATAAGATCCTTCTTATCAGTATATTCATAAGAATTTAGTAAATTTAAAAGAATTTTGCAGTAGACAGTACTGAAAGTTAGTGAAAAAATAATCAGTAATACCAAAACAGATTATCACACAAATTCTCAGAATATTTCTGAACTTAAAAATATAAGAATCCAAACTAGAAACAACGAAAAACAGATCATTTGTCAGATGCCTAGTTCCTTTGTCTGATTTCTGTCTAGCAAAGTCAAAAAAAGCTCACCTGGACCAATTTGATCTTCGCCTCAGATGCTCTTTCTTCATTCCGACATAGCATGTATACCTGAAACGAACAGATTTGTAGAAATCGTATCTCTGAGCCAGTCCAGCATACCTTGACTCCTGCTAGATTTAGGCCTCGTACTGTTTCCAGCCCAGTTCCAGCATTGGCCCCGGTCACCGCAGCTACGAGACCTTTGCCATTCACTCTTTCTCTGAACTGCCCGCCCTTGATGTACTTTCTGTAATCAAAAAGAATGAATTAATTTATGGAAGCAGTATGCTCCATCTTCTTACATGTATCAGAAAGGCAATAAAATTTTTATGAAGATTTAGATGGAAAGAAAACGAAACCAAAAATCATTGAATTTTTAGCTGAGAAGTAATCACGATACCAACCTCAAAATGTATGTGCCAACTGCAAGAACGACAGCACCAAAAATGTACACAATATTATGATCCGATCTGTTCAATGCTGATGACATAGCAGCTATCTGTAAGCAAAATAAAAATTAAAATATGTAGTAGCTAAAATTGTGGGACCTCTTCACATGTGATGAAACGATATCAAAAGGCTGCAACGAGTGGGAGCTAGTCAAATAATTGTAAAGGAGAAGATATTTGTTCCCCCAAAATGTCAAGTTAAGACTCCAAGTTCAACTGTTATGAATCTTGGCATAGCTTTGTAAAGTGGTTTTCGTTTAAATGTCATGTTAGTCATGTCAAATTAGATGTTCAATTTTTGACTAAGAAAAA